CCCTTTTTTTTTCTTTTACAAAATCTGGATATTTTTCAGTTAAATTCACCTTAAGAGGCAGAAAGTCCTTTGCAAGGCAGGAGGAATATTATAGTCCGCAGACACTATTAATAGCAGTGAACTAAATATGTTTGCAGTGTATTAATGAACAACTGAACATTTTTGTGTAGAAACTCAGAAAAAACCTACACGTTACAACTCTCATTAAGCATAAATACAGGCTGGGCAGAGAATGGCTTGAGTGCAGCCCTGAGGAGAAGGATTTGGGGGTGTCAGTAGATGAAAAACTGAACCTGAGCTGTCAGCGTGTGCTCACAGCCCAGAAGGCCAACCAGATCCTGGGCTGCATCAAGAGAAGCATGGCCAGCAGGTCAAGGGAGGCGATTCTGCCCCTCTACTCTGCTCTCGTGAGACCCCACCTGCAGTACTGCATCCAGGTCTGGTCTCCCAATGCAAGAATGACATTGAACATTGAGCTGTTGGAGTGGGTGCAGAGGAGGGCCACAAAGATGATCAGAGGGCTGGAACACCTACCCTATGAGGACAGACTGAGAGAATTGGGGTTGTTCAACATTCAGAAGAGAAGGCTCCGGGACACACACCTTATAGCAGCCTTCCAGTACCTGAAGGGGGCTACAGGAAAGTTGAGGAGGGACTTTTTACAAGGGCATGTAGTGACAGGACTGGGGGGTAATGGATTTAAACTGGAAGAGGGCAGATTTAGACTAGATATTAAGAAATTCTTTACTATAAGGGCAGTGAGGCACTGGCACAGGTTGCCCAGAGAAGCTGTGGATGCCCCATCCCTGGAGGTGTTCAAGACCAGGCTGGATGAGGCTTTGAGCAACCTGGTCTAGGGGGAGGTGTCCCTGCCCATGGCAGGGGGGTTGGAACTAGATGATCTTTAAGGTCCCTTCCAACCCAAACCATTCTATGATTGAATAGATGTTTTTATAATGATTACATGTAGGATGTGCTTAGTAGTTAAAAAAATCATAATATGTCACAAAAGTTTTATTAAAGCATAGAGATTGGTTTTTGTTTGCATTGCAGTTATGGTGATCAAAATATATTTGAATTCATCAAAATTAGTCTTGTATGATAGCTTTGCTTGTTATATTGAATTTACATTAGAAGTTTCACTTCTTATGATTTTGTGTTTCTCCTCTGTTTTTAACTCCCCTTTAGTCTTGGAGTGTAATGCTGCTCCTTTTCTCATGGCCTGATATTAACCAAAATCAAATTTTACCTCCATTAACTTACAGGCTGCAGGTAAATTTTCACTCCCACAATTTTGTGTTTTAAACTGAGAAGAAGTATACCTAAACTCAGGTAACCCCTTATCTAGTCATGTAGAATCTTACCCAAGAAGTATCCCCCCTGCAATGAGTGATGCCAGAGCAATCTCCAGCTATGGACCAAAACTCTGAACTTTGCATGGTTCAAGTTTAATGTAGATAATGGTTTGCTCTGTTTTCAGAAGATGATCTTTTTCAATTCTTAGATTGCTGTGTTTTGACACTTTAGTCCAGAACTGTGAGATGAAAATATACTCCTTGATTCATTCCTTTTTTCACACGGCAATTGATTGAGCAGTGCATTTGAAAAGGAAATTAAGTATATCTTTGCTATGTCGTGATGAATAATTCTCTTATTAGCCTGTGATTATTTTTTTATGTTGCAAAAAACATTTGCATTATTTGCTAACTTAAATGTAGGTTTCTGTGGTAAAACTCAAATTAAAAAGTATGAGATATACCAGTACATATAAAGATTGAGATAAGCTGTATCAATACTTTCCTAGGTATAGACCTTATTCCTCAAGTGAAGATAGAAGATTTAAAGCAAATGAAGGTAAGTATGGACACAAGCTTTTCAAGAGGTATTCATAAGTATTTGTTTTAAGTAGCCAGGATTTTATCTGGTTAAAGTCAATATGACCACAGAAAAATTGATACAACTTCTCTTCTTGTAGGCTTATATAAAGCATTTAAAGAAACAGCAGAAAGAGCTGAATGCCTTAAAGAAGAAACATGCAAAGGTATGATCATTAAGAGCTCTCTGAGCAACACACCTTAATTGAAAAAAATTGCAGCACTCACTAGTACAGACAGCTCCTAATTAAGTTGAAGGGGAAAAAGTAAGGAACAGTGGTTTGACCACCAAGAAAGGCATATGTGTTTCAAGTGTACCGAAATATGCTACAGTGAGCCAATTTTCCCTTTAGCAACCCTTTTTACATCTTCCTGAGTTTCAGTGCACATTTGTTTGGCCCATATAAGCATCCAAAGCTCACCTTTTTCAGATAATGATTTTATCTAGCTCCCTCTTGCATGTCATATTGACAGGCAGCTTGGAAAAAAAGGCAGTAATGATGTGAGAGGGTGCTGCATCAAAGGCAGGTACTGGAGAAACTGCAAAATCACTGAAGCGGCATGTGTAACTGAAAAATGAAATACCCTATTCCTCCTCATTTATATCTATGTTAACCACTTTATGTAGCAAGTACAAACTTTTTGCTTGGTACTGTTGGCACTGAGGTCCCAAATACATACAACACTGTCACAAATGTACTTCAAATTAGAAAATCACAGACAATTTTTCCTGCTCTTTATTATTAGAAAACCATTACTCTTGTTGCAGAAAGAGGTATAACAAGTGAAGAAAGTATTTTAATTTCTGAATTTTGGCAATACATACAAATCCATTCTGGGCTTTTGGGGCAGTTATTCCCTTGCACTCTTTGATTGCAGATCTGATGTAACGTAGTTGCCTGGGCATTTTTAATATCAATCTTTGTGTTTATTTTCATGGCTGTTTTTTAGGCATGGGACTCAATGTCTGTACAATGAAGTATGAAGAAATGACTTTCAATAATCAGCACTTTTGTGTGGCTCTTAATATTAAAAGTAGTATAAGAAAATTAAATAGTTACATTTCATACTTCTTACTGACTCGATGCAGAAGGGAAATGAGTGATTTCTCTAGTTTAGCGTTGTGCGCAAAGCCCATGCACAAGAAAAAGTGTCTGTCAACCACGCTTCTGGGCAGGGACATTTTCTAGAACTTCATGGAGTTGATCTTTTTAGGAGGATTTTTATTTTTAAACACTACTTTCTCATTCGTTGGACAACATCAAGCAGTTAGCTAGAGAAGCTTTTTTGCAAATGAAAATGGTACCATGGTTACATAAAAAACAGCCATACTCAATGATATATGTCCCTGGTATTTGTGACCGACAGTAGTATAAGGATATCTTAGCCAAGACTGCATTTGCTAATACTAAAAAAATTGATCCATCTGTTCAGGCTTGCACTTGCTTCCTCTAATTTGAGGGAAAAAATTGTGAGCCACAATCTGAAAAGGCTGTGCACTCAGAAGGGCTTTCAGCATTAACTCAAGCACAGCTATTTTAGGTCTGAGCCAACCTGTGTCCTGCTAGTCTTAAGTACAGCGTACAAGTCTGTCCTAACAAGAAAGTGCCTGTCTAGAGCATGCCTTGCTAAAGGCTCCAGTAAGGGCAACTTCTTAAATTTGGAGAGGAGAGTCTGAGTAGGTAAGTGTGGCCATATTAGCTCACAGATGATCTTAGGGAAGTGCTTCATGTACTCATCACTATTTTTAATGCATTTTATCAGCTGGGATGGAGTAGGAGAGTTATGTGGTTGGTTATCCATTATCAGCTTGAGGAAGCCTGTGTGTTAAGCAGACTGAACTTTAAAGTTCCAGAAATAGTTTGGCTCTCATTTAACCATAGACACTCCAGAGACCTAGAGGAATAAGTAAACAGAAGGGAATTATGTTGTCTAGAAAAAAAACCAATACTTTTCTATCTAAAGTTGACCTTGGAAAATACGATATGGAAAATGAATGCATGCAAATGTGTAAGAGAGAGCAGGTTGAGAGGAAGGAGCTCTGATATAAGTGGTGTAAGAAGTGATCTGGTAGCCCTGGGCAGAGCTAGCTAAGGAAGGCAACAGCAGGAAGGGACCCTTTTACTGACAGCAT